ATACAAATGGCAAGCTTCGAGTTCGCAATTACCAATCTGAGATTGCCGGGATTGCGGAGTTTTGAACGGAGAGTTTATAAATAACTTACATTGAGAAGACAATGAATTGAACGATAATTCTTGAAGCAAGTTACGTTGTCTCTCTCTCTCTCTGTTACTTTCGTGCCATTTTGTCAAAAGCTACGGCAGCAATCGTTCGAGTTCACTAGACACGCGTGCGAGTCAGTGACACGAGAGGAAAGAACCGGATTTCTAACCGATCCACCAAGACTTTTCGGTTCGCCCGTGAGTAACTAACCGAGGGGATCGAAGAGCTGCGAATTGCTCAGAGGAACGATTGAGTAAATTCGTTTTGTGGTGAAAATATTCGGTTAAGGTCTCTCGGGAGTGTCTCGAGGATAGCCCGAAACGAGGCCAGGGCGATCCTAGCCCCTTCAGATTATCAGAGCTTTTTCCTGGCCGTACGCCAACGGTCACCATGGCAACCATCTTAAACGTATATACCACCCTCTCACGTCCCTTGGCTCCTTTCTTCGCTGGTCGCTACTTTATGGATACACCCACGATTCATCGAATCACGTTGTCGCCTTTGGCGCGCCGCTGTCCGAAAAACTGGATATTCGAAACTTCGCGAAACCTCTTTCTTCAGCTCTGTTGCTGCTCACTCGAGCCGAGAGACGCACGTTTCTCACGTAGAACACGTTGGTCTCTCTGTGCAAATGAAGTGCATTTCGTTGCCTCGACGTTTCATCATCTTGGCGAGACGATCGTCTTTGTGAAAAATATCGGTATGCGTTGTCGAACGTACCGTCGTTTCGCTCTGAATCTTCGTTGCAAAGCAGAGGCAAATTCCTTCATTCAATATATATATATATATATATATTCAATATATATCACATACATCCACTACAGAAAATTTTCGTTTTCAAAATATCTACATTTTTTTTTAGTAAGTGCAAGAATTATATATATATATATATATATATTCAATATATATCACATACATCCACTACAGAAAATTTTCGTTTTCAAAATATCTACATTTTTTTTTAGCAAGTGCAAGAATTAGATATATATATATGAATACTATATATATAGTATTATACATACGCTCCCGTCCATCAGTCACCGGAAGCAATTATATTCGATGAAATAACTTATTTTGTGAAACGAAATTACTACTCATTATATATGTATAATGTCTAAAATACATATGGCAAGCATATGGTTTATATGTCAAAAATCTTACCAAGTATAAGTTGTATATAATGTATCTTATATCTTTGCGCAAATATGAGGGCCAGATACAACCGTGACATACTTTCGTTTAATTTTAACAATATTTCTTTCCACGCTTCTTCTAATCTTCGTCCATGAGCCTCTTTTCTTTTCGATTTTGGACATTTATTTCTGAAGTCTTCTGTCCAATTCATCCCATAATTCATCGATTCGATTTTTTTAATTGTACGTACATATTTTTGATATACTTTGAAATATTTATTCAGACCGTATACGTGAAATATCAGTTTTGTTTTCAAGTATTATCATAAAATAGAGTAAATAGAGTAAATAGAGTACATGTAACAAGATTGTATAATCAAATTAATCCAGAAAATTATATCTTTGTTTTAGTAACTATTTAGCTCAGAATAAGCAAGTGTCCATTGAACAGGAGTGTATATTTGGTTGAGTGGAAAATAATTTCGTATTCTCTCGATATAGCGTAACTCTGGTAATATCAATCATGCGTGCGTTCGAAAGATGATGTATCATAGAGTAATTAAAAAGACAGTTGCGACATTTGTTTATTCGGTCGAAAATTCTTGCGTTTTGAAAATACGATCGATATAGTTTGAAATTTTATTACCAGAAAGGGAAGAATGTGACTGAAGCTGCTAAAAAGAAATTTGTGACGTGATGCAGCGTCAGTACATGTGGCACAAAGCTGATTCAAGCGTTTTCAATTTGGGAATTTTCATGTCAGAGATGCACCTTTCTCTGGTCGAGATCAGTCACTGGAAAAGTCGATGAAATCATGGAAAATATTGACGAAAACCGATACATTAGTAGTGACGATATCTATAAGGAACTAAACATCGATCACAAGATAGTTTTAAACCATTTGGAAAGGGCTGGATGGACAAAATAGCTTGATATTTGAGTGATTCAATACTGAAAAATTCCACGAATCTAAGATTATGATTTTACCTTAAAAATGGCACAAGGCGATCGAACAAAACATATTTGGTTTAATAAAATATGAAAAGTAATTAACTGAAATTTTAAATGAAATATATTCATTTAAAATATGAAAAAAAAAAAAAAAAACACTTGTTTCACTTCTGCACGAAAATACGAAATTACTTTTTATTGAATCCACGATACATGCGTGTTCTGAAATTCTCGACTTCTCTATCCGTCAGTTGAGCGTCTCTCGTATTTTTCTCTTTTTACGTAAAATCTTCCGACGTCTCACGTTCCATTATTACCTTTTATTTGTCCGTCAATTCTCGATCCACTTCGAAGACAATTAAAAATGAAGCATCCTATCAATCTTCGACTTGTTCATTTTCCTGTAGTTCAGTAGATTGTCGATAATCCCGTATCGAAATCTGCAAGATCGACCACTATTGCTCTATACTCTAATTCTTGCACTTGCTAAAAAAAAAATGTAGATATTTTGAAAACGAAAATTTTCTGTAGTGGATGTATTCCATTTCCTCTGACGAAAGTCTTATCGCGAGCAAACTGCAACTAAATTTTACCAAGCAACAATCTGAGACTTGTAATTAACCTCCGGAATTCGTGCTACGAGCCCCGTGTGTCGCATAATGTACATAAATTACACTACTTGAAACGATTGGAGTACGTGTCATTTTCAAAGCAGATAGATTTCGCAACGATTATTATTATAATAAATATCATTCGATAAGAATTTACAGATAATTAGCAGAGATTAGAAAGTACAGTTTGAATTTCAAGGTCAAAATTCTCTTTGCATTGCATTCTACTTATCACGAAGGTAAAACTTTCCCTAAGGAATCTAATAGTTTTTTTTTTAGAAAAATGGCAAAAAAGTTTCTTGCAGACGCATGCGTGCTAACAGCGACTTTACACGGTTCTGAACACGTGGATGTCTATTTTTGTATTAGGTTTCACTAATATTTGATTTATCATACTTGTAGTATCAATGTGAGTCTAAATAATCAAATGATAAAACTAACTGTTAACATTATTTGAGATATAAACATTATACGCGTTTAGTACTATAAAGTCGCTGTTAGAACGATCTGAGAACAGTCCGCAGTGTTGAATGATTTCTTCAAAAGAACTATTAAGATCTATGGTTCCTTGGAAAAGTTTTACCTTTGTGATAAGTAGAATATAATGCAAGAGAAAAAAATTTTTTGACCTTGAAATTCAAGATGAATTGACGTTAGCGTGCGTGTTAACAGCGACTTTATAGTATGGACGCGTGGATGTCTACTTTAAGTAATTTTTGTATTAGATTTCACTAATATTTGATTTATCATAGTTGTAGCATCAGTGTGAGTCTGAATAATCAAATGATAAAACTACTGTTAACATTATTCGAAATATAAACGTTACATCCACGCATCCGGAGCCATAAAGTCGCTGTTAGAACTTCAAGGTTAAAATTTTTCTTTTTTTTCTTTTTGCATTGTATTCTACTCGTCACGAAGATAAAACTTTTCCAAGAAACCATAGCTCTTAAATACTTAATAGTTTCTTTGAAAAATGGCAAAAAACGTGCCTGGGTGCGTAACAGCGACTTTATGGTTCTGGATGCGTGGATATCTATATTAATGTAATGTTCGTAAACCTAACCAACCATAGACCGCAACCAAATCATTCTCTTGAAGAATGGGAGAAAAAAGTTTCTTAATCATTTAACATTACAGACATGTGCGTGCTAACAGCGACTTAATTGCTAACGATTCAGGATCAGGTTTCACTAATATTTGATTTATCATAGTTGTAATATCAGCGTGAGACATATCTAAATAATCAAATGATAAAACTAACTGTTAACATTATTCGAGATATAAATATTACGTAATATAGACATCCACGCATCCAGAAACATCATAAAGTCGCTGTTAGCACGCAATGTTCGATGATTAAGAAACTGTTTCGCCATTTTTCAAGAGAATTATTAGGTTGCGATCTATTTACTTGGAAGTAGGTGCAAAAAAAATTTTTCGATCTTAAAATTCAAGATCGATATCAATTCTCCGGCGTTTCATTACATCAAATCGAAGGAGTAGAATTCACCTATGATAAATTTTCCTTTCTACCTTGTACAACAGATGTTTATTTTCCGAAACGGTCGATCTCTGCATTCGTGGGTCGTGACAGTTCCTCCCGGGCATATCTCCTTGTCTTTTGCGCAGACAGTTTGAAACATCCACGTATGTAAACACGAATGAAGTACATATTTATTCAAGCTTGGTTCAAATAGAAAGTTCATTCCCCAGATTTTTCTTTTCTCGCATGGACTTTTCTTCAATATAAACTACATAATCTGTTACATTTACTGCAAATTATTCATTGTACAATATTATATAATCGTACAATTTTCAAAATTGGGAGATGAAATTGTGGAATTTTTCGCGGGATTACTTGCTGTGTCTTTTATATTTATTTTTGTCTCTCGTTCCGCAAAGAGTGAAATAGCACGCGCGTGCAATGGAATCGAAAGGCTACATTTTTGAATCGGAAATGAATCGGGATTGAATCGAATGGTTGAATGGATTGATTACATCGTCGAGGCATAATGGCTGGCCAGCGTCGAGTTTTACTACTTGAACTGTAACGTACATTCGCGATTTGAAGCACAGTTTTTCAAAAGAGAATCGTATCGCGAATCATGCATTAGTGACGCAATGCATTCCGAGTGAAACGATTTTCAATTTAGATCTTAAGGGATTCTATCGCAATCTGAAATGAATTTGATTTGAAAACTTGATCTGTTTCAGGCACTACTTAGAGGAGCTTTAACCCAGCAGAGTGCTGTTATCCTCGTCTGTATGGCGATTGATCGTTACGTTTGTATGCTGCACCCACATCATTATCACAAACACACGTCTAAAAAGGTACGTTCCTTCTGTCACGTTGTTCTCCTTTTTTTTTTTTTCGTCTTTCAAACGACGTGTTAGAATGTTCTCTGTTTTTTCATGATCCTCGTAGTTTCATGATCTCGTGCTTCAAAATAGTCACGATCGATCGTATTAAACCCGAGCTTTCACTTCTGTATTATATTTTGATGGATGGATTGGAATCATTGTGAAAGATGAGATCGAGAAAGTTAAATAATAACATCTGTAGTGGTTTCTACTGTATATATGTACAATGCATGGTCGCACATATTTTTATATTAAATTTTTCACTTTGTTTCACATGCACGAGAGCTCTCAAGCGTACTGTCAACTTTTTTATTTTTGATTTTTGATGCAAGATCTACTGTTAAAAGCGATGGAAAGACACACGGCGAAATAACATAAAGGACATTGGAGATTTTTAATACTTTGGTGGGAACCATTTCGATCAGAATTTTTTTATTTCTCACTAAAAAAAAAAAACATTTATCGCAGAGACTCTGAACGTTAAAATGACAACTATTCTATCGCGTATATTAATAACTATGGAACATATTGGAACGATAGTGATGGATTCAAGATTGATGGAACGAATTTTCTATGATAACGATGTCGATCGACTTCAGTCTCTCGTATTTTCAATTTTTTATACAGCAAAATAACAATTGTTTAACGACATTTTGCGCGATGTTTAAATATATTTATTTTCACTCACAACACTTTAATTCACATTTGTTCGATATTTCATTTAACATCATTCAATATTTTTGTAATCGCTGTTAAATATATTTATCTGTCGGAAATTATATTTCACACTCGAAGTGATTTCACTTGGAGCATTTTACGATTAATTTTTCACCATTTTTCAATAACCTCTGATGTTCAAACTACTAAATATTTCAATATATTTAAATACATTGCTCTTAAATATATTCAACCCAGAGAGATATTATATTTTACTCGGAAATTCTATTTACGCTCGAAGTGAATTTTACTTGGAAGATTTTGGGATTAGTTTTGCGCCATTCATCACGATCCCCCGACTGAAGTTTATTATTGCTATCCATTCACTTGATAGCCAGAGTCGCAGCGCCTCATGCACGGACAGGCTCTCCGAAGCCTAATGTAATCCTCTGTCACTTGAAGCGAAGCTGATAGTTGCACGAGCAGCGACGAGATGAAGGAAACGATTTAAAATTTCAAATCAACCATTCCCCACCCTTTCTCTATTTCTGCGCGCAAACGTATCATTGATTTTACAATGAATGTGACGGCCTGAATAGTTGAAGGCAACTTTATTTTCTAGAGTTCCATCAGTTACTCGGAATGGCGAACATTTGAAAAGATATTCTTTCTTGTAATATTTTAACTAATGTTTCCTGTCAGAAACTCGTCCATTCTGTTCGATTTCTTTCTCAAGCCGATAGTTGTTCGCCAGCGACGAAATTTCTAATCAACTTTCCTGTATTTCTCCGTAAACGTAAACGTATCGTTGATTTTGTAATGAATTTGCTGGCCCATATGTAATACATTGAGGCAACTTTGTTTTCTAGAATTCTGTTAGCTAATCGCAACAGCGAAAATTTGAAAGGATTTATATTTATGGTCTTTTTTAGCTTAGAGGTTGCTAACTGACGGCCCACTTTCCTGGTCGCTAGCGCTATCCCCTCCACTGCATCAGTTCACGCACGTCGAGGAAATTTCAGTGTAGTGGGGGGAATTATGCAGTGGAGGGGGTAGCGCTAGCGATCAGGAAAAGTGGGGGCAAAGACTGTCAGTCAGCCATCTCTGTTCCAACTAATGTTTCCTGTCAGAAGTTCTTCCATTTCATTTGATTATATATTTAATAATTTCTATATATTATATTTATTTCTATGTATTATATTATATATTATATTTAATAATTTATATAAATATTTAATATAAATATATATAAAATAACTTATAAATAACTTATATATTTATATTTAATATAAATATCTTTATATATTTAATATAAATATATAAGTACGTAAGTCTTTCTTAAGCTGACAATTAATCGCCAGAAACGAAATTTCGAATCAATCCTACTGTATTTCTCCACGTAAACGTGAGAAATCATTGACTTCGCATTGAAAATGTATTTTGGTGGCTCACATACTTTAAGGCAACTGCATTTTCTAAACTTCCATCAGTTACTTGGAGTGGCGAAAATTTGAAAAGACATTCTCGTCTTCATCCAAGGCTTATCCTCGTGATCGTCTAACTGGCGTCCCCTGCCAGAAACTCTTCCATTTTATTTAATTAGTACGCTTACTACGGTTTCTTCGAATTTAGACGTAAATTCTCCAGGGAACTTGTGTTTTTCAAGCATAGCGTTGCGATTGCTTTCGCAGTTCGGTTGTAAGTTCGTCCGAGACACCTAATCTTCCCTAGCGGTTTCCTTTGGTAGATTCGACCGTGCCATCCACTTTCCTCCAGTTACTAACGGTTACCAGGGCGCTGGTTAGGAGAAAGGAAGTAATAACAAACGCCATTCCTCGGCCTCGTGCTCTGCTCAGCTCTGAATTGTTACACCTGATTGCTTTTTGAGATTGTCGGCGATTATTCAGTCTGAACTCTCGTTCACCTGACCGGCTGTAAACGATCATTTTAGCCATATGGGAGAAGACGTTTCGGTTGATAGGAAATTTATAAGAAGTTTAGAAAGAAATTTGAAGAAAATTAAGAAATTTCGTAGAGGTGGGTCCGAAATTAAGTTTTAAATTTTCGAAACTTAAATCCGAAATTTTGCGGAAATTAATGAGAGAGATAAGAAAGAGGGTTTCTCTTTTTATATTGTATTATATACTAAATTATATATTATATTATTATATTATAATATTATAATATAATTATAATATATTATAATTATATATTATAATACTATAATATAACATTACGACATTATGTATTATATTATATAATTATATATTATATATTATAATATAACATATTGTAATTATATATTATAATATATTATAATTACATATTATAATATTATAATATAAAATTACGACATTATGTATTATATTACATAATTATATATTATATATTATATATTATAATATAATCGACAATTGTTATGAGTAATCGAAATAAATTTATTAGAAACAGTTTTCCTATAATCATTATTTGTCATCGAAAATGTTTCAATTAAAAATAATTGTTATCCTACGATTTTTTTTTTATCCTATTATATTAATAATCGTGGACCCTAATATACAAATAAATGAGAAACTACATAAACTCAAACAGCTAACAGGGTAACTATGCACGAGCAAATGCGCAACGAATCGATTTTGCTATTCAACGATTTTCTTCCTTTTTTTACGCGACTCGTAACTCGTCGGATCACTTCTCCTCGCAAGCATTATTTCTCGCTTTCTTCTTTCCTTTCTTTTTTTTCTTTTCTTTGTCGAGAAGCCAAATCGTCGGTTTCCTCGCATTTACGCGACTGTCGAACTCGTTCGCTATGAAAAGCCCCGTATATAGAACGAGGGATCCTCCGAGACAATCGAGCTCGCCTTTAAAACAACCGGACACTTTCTCTCTCTCTCTCTCTCTCTCTCTCTCTCTCTCTCTCTCATTCAAAGATTTTTCCTTTTCCTCGAATTTCATACTACGTTGAGTTTTATGCCAAATCGTAAAAACTCGGAGCTGCTTTTCATTTCAGCGTTGAAAATTAGTCTACGTCCACTGATCGATATTACATTCCAATCGTTTTTCAATTTAATTTTTTATTTTCAATTTTTAATTTTTAGTTTTTTAATTTTATATTATAATGTAAATTTTTGGGCAAAATATTTTCTAGAAAGTCGCTAGGATTTCATTTTTTTTATATACAAGGTGTCCCATGTGAAGTCAATTTTCTTCAAACGAAACTTACGTCGTTTTTTTTTAAAACACAATGGGAAAATCATGTTTGAACTTGAATTTAATTAGAAATTAATAAAATTAATGAAATATTTTCTCGCATATTGATTAAAAAAAAAAAAGAATAGGTGGGAAGGAACTTTTGGCCCACCCTGTATTATTCATTCATGCCACAAATGTTTATGTTTCTTATGCTCGACGAAGCTTTGACCACGAAACAGTACCTAGTTATCCATATCGCTGAATTCGTCTTGATGTCAACCACAAGACTCTAAACTCGAAAATACACAGTTCCATCAAAAAAAAANAAAAAAAAAAAAAAAAGAAAGAAAAAAAGCAAACGTCACCTCAGTAACGAAGTTGATTTCATTTAAATTTCATTTGAATCACTTTTCTCTATGGCGAATTGAAGTTTAAGGAGAAAAAGTGCGTTTCGCGCTGGACACCCGGTGTGCACTCTCGGTGTTCCCGTTTTTACGTATCCGCGGTCATTCTCGAAGTTAATAGATACAATGAATATGTAGAACGGCGAGCTGGAAGAACAGTAGGTAGGTGCGTATTATTAGTTGTGTGGTACGTTGATTTCGGACAAAATTTATTCCCCCGGGCGGGTCATAACCCGTGTATGTACACACGCCGCTGGCTGTTAGGTTTGCGGATATGAAATTCGTCGTTTCTCCTAACTTTGAAGTTGACCAGTCGAGGAGTGCCGCCATCGTTAAATCTCTGCACCATCCTCCAGTTGTAGTTATCAATCATATTTTCAACGTTATATTACTATATTACTATTATTATTATTATTATTATTATTATTATTATTATTTAAGGCACGATATATTACTATGTTACTATTATTATTATTATATAACTCACGACATATTACTATGTTACTATTACTATTATTTAACGCACGATATATTACTATTTTTTTATTATTATTATTATTATTATTTAACGCACGATGTTACTATGTTACTATTATTATTACTATTACTATTACTACTACTATTATTCTTCTTCTTCTTCTTATTATTATTATTATTATTATTATTATTATTATTATTATTATTATTTAACGCACGATATATTACTATGTTACTATTATTATTATCTAACGCACGATATATTACTATGTTACTATTATTATTATCTAACGCACGATATATTACTATGTTATTATTATTATTATTATTATTATTTAATGCACGATATATTACTATGTTACTATTATTATTATTATTATTTAGCGCACGATATATTACTATGTTACTATTATTATTATTATTATTATTATTATCATTATTATTTGACGTACGTTCTCCGTTCTCCCATCAACTGATCGAGATATTTTTACTTTCTTCGCGTTTCGTTTCCTTTTCACATTTCAACTCGTTTCATATTTACTTTCAGTTCAAATCCCGGTGTTTCTTTCGTCCATTTGTCGACGGTTTAATATCTGCTTTATCCTCCGTCAGTCGTGAAAATAATAGTAAACTGTCTGACCTGTCTGGATTAAAACTGTCTTCATCTGCAACAATAACTCCTCGACGTTTCTTTCCTTCGACGAGCATGTTGCTTCTTTACGCCTGCGCCATTAACGGTTGCGCTTTAAATTTTCGTAGACGAACAACACGTTGCAGCGTTAACTGTGTTTATTATATAACTGGCGTCGTCGTTTATCTCGTAGGAAAAAAAATTCAAAGTTATCTTTTTAGGTTGGTCTCTCCCTTTCTTTTTTATTACGTATAAATTCTAGCGAAGAAGTTCATTTTCAGCCAATGGGACAATTGAAATTGAATTTTAATCGATTTAAAATCTTCATTTTTGGCTAAATAAACACACATATCAAAGATTCGCGGATTCGACGGACTTTGATTAACTCGGAGCAAATTAACTTTGAACGTTCGACCGATTGAAAAAAAAAAAAGGAAAATATTTTAATATGGAAGATGAATCAGAGGAAGAACGTAATCTGACAATTTGCTGACTCTCGTAGACCGTTCCGGGTTCGTAATTTTCCGCCAATTGAATGTTCATCGATTTCCACTGTCCTCTTTCCCCGTTTCCATCAAAATAATAGTCAATGTTGCTACCCGATCTCGGTTAGCAACAAATTTCAACAGTCGCCGTGCGAAACGATAAATTAAACATTTCTACAGACTGTGTATCTCATCTTTAGAGAAAATATATTTCCCAACTTGATACAAAAATTTCAAAATGTTGAATATACAGAATTACTTTCTCTCGAAGATGTATAGATTTTCATTAATGTTCGCACGATGAAGCATTTAAACTGTTACGATTTTGTGAAGTATAACCATACGGCGACAAATCTCGGCTCATTTTGAAGCTCGAAGCCTTTACTTTCAAAATGCACTTTATCCTAAAATGTCTTTAAAATCACGTAGCGAGTGCGTAAGTGAAGATACTTTTCTTCTCGAAAGTGCCATAAATTGTCACAGTCTGTAGAAAAATTGAGAAATTTTGTTCACGACTGAAGCTACAATGGATTTAAAGATTGGAGCTTCGTCTTTACAAAGACATCTCTACTTTGACGTACGATTTTTTTGTCGCCATTTTATCAAACTCTGACGACGATATAGTAAATCATATACGTATACATCAATTTATAACACAAGTAATTAAATTATATTATAGTATATTAATAGCTGAAAACTATTCTCAGAATGCACGATAACAGAAGCATTTTAATAACGGGAGTTTCAAACTTTAAAATGTGCCCCAAGTTTATTAATGCACAATTTCTCCTCGCAAAATTGCAACAGTGTAAAATGAACGTGAAAAAATGAATATTAATGAGACGATGAGTAAAAACGTGCACGGTTGTATAATTTGTATGTTAAATATGATGTATCAGGAACGATGGAAACAAAATTCACTTCGAACTTGGTTCATTCGTGCGGCAACCAATCTCGAATAACAGAAACTGTTTCACAGTTTCGTCAGTAGTTGCAAGTACACACGCGTTAACGTTTATCGTCAAAGTTCTTGACACTGCAATCACGGTTAGATGACTATGCGCGTAAAAGTGACTTTACTATAATACCAAGATAGTAGAGCAAATGGTGTGGGTGTCAACACCTATTTTTTTCTTTCTTTCAATGAAACGTCAAAACGTAAGAAAAGACTATTAATTTTAGATCGAATTTAAGTTTATTAATTTTCCATTTTTTGTGTATTTTAATCTGTAGGAAGAAGAAAGAGAAAAACATATACAATAAGAAAATTATTAAATAATTATTAAGAATAATAAGAAATATAATATAAATATTATATACAATAAGAAAATTATTAAATAATTATTAAGAATAATAAGAAATATAATATAAATATCATATAACAAGAAAAATTTATATATAATATAAAAGTATATAAATATCATATAATAAGAAACATTTATATATAATATAAGAATATAACACAAATATCATACAATAAGAAACATTTATATATAATATAAAAATGTGTAATATAAGTATCATATAAGAAAAATTTATATATAATATAAATATCATATAATAAGAAATATTTATATATAACATAAAAATATAATACAAATATCATATAATAAGAAACATTTATATATAATATAAATATCATATAACAAGAAAAATTTATATATAATATAAAAGTATATAAATATCATATAATAAGAATCATTTATATATAATATAAAAATATAATATAAATATCATATAATAAGAAAACTTTATATATAATATAAAAATGTGTAATATAAGTATCATATAATAAGAAACATTTATATATAATATAAAAATATAATACAAATATCATATAATGAGAAAAATTTATATATAATATAAAAATGTGTAATATAAGTATCATATAATAAGAAAAATTTATATATAATATAAAAATATATAAGTATCATATAATAAGAAAATTATTCAATTAGGATTTATTTTAGTAGAAAGTACTAAATTTTGTAGGACTCGGGCTCTCACCACAGTTTGAATATCTAATCTAGGCCTCGACTGATCTCTCTCGCGGGCGAGAATTTCTGAATTTTTCACAAATGATATGCACATAGAAACCGCCGATCGGGACCAAATATTGGATGCAAGCGTTTTAATGAATTTGTTCGATTAATGATATGCACATGTCTCTCGTATGCGCGCATTTAATCTTACATTTCGAAACGTTGAACGATCGATAGTCGGTCGTCGAGAACTTTCCATTCGTCGAATGTATTATATTTTAATGAGCACTTAACGACGCGCCGGAAGTAATTTAGTAATTCAGAAATTCCATTATCGTCTCTTTTCTTTTTGCATTACATTACATGTTAATCTATAGAATAACCATGTGCGAGAGATGAACGAACGAATTAAATATTAAATATTATTAAATATTATTTCTTGTGCCGTGTTTTTTCTTTTTCTTTTGTTTCTCTTTTTTTTTTCTTTCTTTTTTTTTCCTTTTTTACGTCGTTTCGCTCTGCAACGCACGCTTTCCACCCCTCAGGCAATGCGTTATTACACTTTTCTGCCTTTTGTTGCAACGTAATTGGAAGGGAGCGAAGACAACGTGCACGCCGGGCCTCTCCGCGTGTGTGTGTGTGTGTGTGTCTCATTTATTCCGCGCGAATTCAGTTATTTGTTTCACGGTTACGTGGCATTTGCCCCGGCTAAGGCTTTATTAGAAATAAGCAGCAATTAGCAGCAAATTTTTCGGGTCAATCGTTTTCACTTTCGCTCGCCGTAAATTTATCTCTCGGACGCGCGACACTGGTTTGGAGAACGTTAGTCTCTCTCTCTCTCTCAGTTTGGATTGCTACTGAAAATTAGTATAAATGGAGGTTGATATCAACGGAAGCTTGCTAAAGCCGCGGCTAATTCCCCGAGCTGTCAACTCGAGTGCTTTTCTCTGTTTGTTGCTAATTCTCCACCGTCGATGCTGTCGCGCGTTTATTGAAAATATAGATTCGAGTTTCCAGCACTCGGAGAGTGCAAAAAAGCAGGGACAGAGAATCTTCCTTTTTTTTTTTCAAATTTCAGCCTAGAAAAAGAAGCGAACATTGCTGCTTTCTAACACGCTCGTTCTTATCCTCTGCTTTTCAGCTAGTTCTGTTCGATAATTATACAGGGTGGGCCAAAAATCACTTCCTACTAAAATAATAGAAACAAATGATAAAACGAAGTAACAGTGAAAGAAATAATTTTTGAAAAGCATAATGGAAAGGTCATGCTTGAACTTGAATTTAATTTAAATTTAATAAAATTATCTTGAATAAAACTTATTTTGATGTTTCGTTGAAAACAAATTAATAAAACAAGCTTACATTTTGATGTTTAAAAAAAAAGTTGATAGAATCATCTTACGTTTCATTAAAAAAAAAAAGTTACAATAAAATTATCTTACATTTTGATGTTTTATTAAAAGTAGGTGAGAAAGTAGGAAGAAACTTTCGGTCCATCCTGTATATACATGTATAATCATACACGCATGTTACTTACATATGTATGTTCAAGCGCTCGGGAGGAAGAAAGGGAACAATGATTATTTTCTGTGTATGTGACGCAGTATTACATGCGGCAGGGTTGCGTGGCAGTGATGTCGACCACTTGGATAGCAAGCGTGGCGATTTTCGGTGCTCTCGTGCTCCCAAGAGGTGGTTATTACTTCAACGGCTCTGGTCTCCTGGCCTGCGACCCTTTTTTCGCCAGGGCTTCCCTTAGGTATTTTTCACCTGTTCGTAGTTGAAAGAGAGAAAAAAAAAAAAAAAGAAAAAAGAAATCTGTCACAGCTCAGCACATTCTATATGAATGCATAAACCTTAGAGGACAGAGAAGATCTAATCATAAGATTTAATCCCTGTAACACCTTTGTCCTGACACAAAACAAAATTTCGATACTCGATGGACACAAATCTATACTGTGCTATATCTACACTATATCTATACTATACTACATTATATCTACAATATAGCTATACTATGCTATACTATATCTATGCTATATCATATCTACTCTATATCTATACTAACTGTATATCTACACTATATTTATACTATACTATACTATCTATACTATACCTATATTATTTCTATTCTATATCTATACTATATCTACAATATTTCTATACTATACTATATCTACACTACATTTATACTATACTATATTATATCTACATTATACTATACTATCTATACTATTTCTATTCTATATCTATACTATATCTACAATATTTCTATACTATACTATATCTACACTATATTTATACTATACTATATTATATCTACAATATATCTATACTATACTATATTATATCTACAATATATCTACACTATACTATACTATATCTATACTATATCATCTACATTATATCTATACCATACTATACTATACTTTATTATATCTACACTATACTATACTATATCTACACTATTTCTATACTCTACTATATCTACACTATTTCTTTACTATACTATATCTACAGTATATCTATACTATACTATACTATATCTACACTATTTCTTTACTATACTATATCTACACTATTTCTTTACTATACTATATCTACACTATATCTATACTATACTATATCTACACTATTTCTTTACTATACTATATCTACACTATATCTATACTATACTATATCTACACTATTTCTTTACTATACTATATCTACACTATATCTATACTATACTATATCTACACTATTTCTTTACTATACTATATCTACACTATATCTATACTATACTATATCTACACTATTTCTTTACTATACTATATCTACACTATATCTATACTATACTATATCTACACTATTTCTTTACTATACTATACTATACTATATCTACACTCTATCTATACTATACTATACAATAAAATACAAGTACCGTATAAGTACCTAGTCGCTAATGACATGGATGTCGATGCGACTTGAAACCTGCACAAAAACAAAAAGAAAAAAGAAATCTTATCAGTCAAATCAGCCGATACTCGTCGATTCGTTCAAATTGCAAATATTCCTCTTCGAACAGCGCTGGAACTATGAAAATAATAGGCTCGGTTCTACACGTACGTTTGATTTGTTTCATCGAGAATGCCCTCTCCCTCCCAACACCCTTAACAAATCGGTTCGCGCGCCACGTCGAAACGAACGAAGAAATTTATTCTGTTTTCCCCTCATTTGCAGGATTCTCGCGTGCTGTTGTTTTTACTTTCCTACAACGATGGTGCTGATGTACTGCTACGGCTCGGCCTTTCACGTGAACAAACTGCGCCTGAAAAGGGTGGTTTGCGTTAACACGCCGGAGGTCGTTAGCGGAGGCCACGTGGAGAGGGTAAGTCAAGTTTGCCAGCACTCGAACGTTCCCCACCTCCCCCTCCTTCCCAATCGATAGGCTCGATTTAAAAGGAACCCGGCCGGCAAACAAAACCGCGACGGTCCGCTTAACGATTCGCCGGATTGCTCGATGCTCAATCGGACACGACACTTAATGAAGTGGCTTTACACCAATAAATTGAATAATAGATTGCACTTGCCAGTGAGACGAAATGAAACTACAGCGTGTTTTAATAAGAACGTGAGCGTCATTCCTTTGAAAAAAAAAAAAAGAAATATTCCTTTTGTAAAACATTTCTCACGGATCGAAAGTACGCTTGAAATGCCATTAAAACGCTCTCGATCAATAGTGTGTCCAATGTCGCATTAATATATCTAATGATCTAGTAAAGTGTGGTATAATTCGAAACACGGGTCAATAAATAATTCCGCATCGCGTTTCTTGCGTTTGTGATGCGTCTCTCTTCTTCTCTTTACGTTTTCTACACCCTACGCATTTGCGCCCTTCTGTGATTAATTTATTACCACACCTTTGCAGTTTTAGGGTGTCGAATGAAATAACTGTAAAGTAATCACGTTTCAATAACACACGACTAACGGAAGACGCGATTGTTGAATTAGAATTCACTCGCGTCTGATCCAATGTGAGGTTTGCTGCGATTATTGTCGATGACATTCGTCGAGCGCCTGTAGACGCCTTCAGTTGGATTCGAGTAGCGTGAAGTGAGCGCCCATAGGCGCCTCTCCGTTTCGGCGGGACTGAAGTAAGTCGAGCGCCTATGGCCGCCAACCAGCACCCAGAAAGCAAATCTTGAATGCGTCTTCAGGAGCCAAACGCAGCCAATGGGTTAATAGTGTGTTCAATCTCCAGCACCAGCGACGAGACACGCTTTCCACCGTTTCCAATTTTTCAGCATACGAGACAGTTTTTGCAAAGACCTCCATATTTCTCGAATTCGACGACTCGGGCGTTCCGTTGTTAACACACGCGTCCCTCGTGATTGTCCAAACATTTTCAAATCCCCGGTCAAACGAGCCTGGGTCTGTCCACGGAAATCCAATTGTCCAGAGAATTGTCAAAAATGCGTGTTTGGGGCTGCTTTAATATTCGCGGATTTGGGACATCTTTATAAACAATCTGAAATATAATTTATCGTGAAATCTTGCAGTTTTTGTTGATAAATTTCGAAGTCGTTCGTTTTTTTCTTTTATCTAGCCTTTCGCTTCTTTGTTGGTTTTATCAACTTTGAAGTTGCTGCAGCGTGAAGAATTAAAATTAAAAATTTGGAAGCTCGGAAGGTTCTGACGTAACGTAAGGTTAGCCTTACCGTGAAACTTTTTTCAGGAACTTTTAATTTAGTACCCGGAATCGATCATTTCTCTGGCGCGCTCTTCCTCGTTCCGAAATCGCTTCAAGTTGCAAAATTGCAGCGAACCCAATAGTTAATTTTTCAACGCGAGCGTACATTTACGTTTCTCGTGTTAATAAATTAATTCATGCCAGCTCCTCTTAATGGGATGCGCGAAATTTTGGTTAAACTATGCGGAAAAGTTCGGATACGCGGAAATTCACGCCGGTGTTTCCACGAGCACGTGGCGCGATCGTTACAGCGTGCTTCGTCGCTCTCTACTATTATTGTTATGCGAACGATTCACACGTCTGCATATAAGTGCACGGTTTAATTTTGACTGTTAATGTCTCGTAGCTTCCAAAAGGACTGATAAGTATAGTCGGATACGTTAAATATTCTATTGCCACTTGTGACTAGTCGAACGAATTATTGAGTTTCCTCTAACATAAATTTAACAATTTTCTAACGTGAATGTAAAAATTAAAAATTCGTCCAACGTATATCTTATAGGAAATTTAGTGGCTAACTTTATTCTAAACTGCAGATTCATTGTGTAATTTAATAGTTGATCGTTCGAGTTCGTTTAGCGATTTCAAAAATTGACAGTCAAAAAGGAACATCTTCGGTCGTACTTTGCTATATTATCTCTGAGAAAAGGGAAAAAAAATGACATTGCGCGAGTTTATAAAAATGATGAGGAATTCTTTAAATTCTTGGTGAAACATTCTGATGAAATTCCTGGTATCAAGATCGGTTTAGTAAATTTCACTACTAACTAGAGGATATGAAATCGTTCTTGGTCGAAAGAGATAAGAAATTGACTGAAAAGTCGAGCAAAATGAACAATATATCACCTTAATAGAGTTTTTATTTCTCACGAAAAATTCATTTTTAATTTGCACACACACACACACACACATACATACAGAAAAAGAAACTCTCAGTTACATTTTAGCCAACCTAACAAAATAATAAAATTAAGAAAAAAGAAGAAATGATAAAAATACACAAAAGTGTTTCACTTGTCCAGCATACACGAGCATATACTCGCTCGTCGTTGATAAGCTTCTACTGTAGTACGAGCTGCACGACGCTGCTCCACTTACCAAAGACGCATTTACAAATCTCGTCAATGAAAACGCACGCGTATTTACAAAGTTTGTCAGCGTAAATCACTTGGCGCGTACATTCTCTGTCGACGTATTTCGTTGTTGCGGTTTGTGCCACAATAACATTTTCGGGCGTGAGTTTTATTTAAAAAACGGAGAATAAATCAAAGTTCTCGGGGGGGGGGGCGAATAGTACGCTGATAGTCCCCGAAATCGATAGTGTACTATTTCACTTGAACTCGTTGCCCACCGCCAGCGTGTATCGCGTCACATATACTTGCTTCATAGTCGAATATTTATTATTTCCCATTAATTGGAAAAGTGAAAGAATGCCGCCGCGCGCTAAATTAAAATTAAGAAACAATTTATTATAGCGGATCACGCTGGAGAAAGAAAGACATATGACGATCGGTGGCGAACTGCCTTCGTGAAATCTGCCATATTAAATTTCGCTGGGATACAAACTGTTTAATACGTATATTTAGTGTAGAGGTACACACGTGTCTCTCGAATTACTCGCCTTACTGTATTTACATTGACAAATATGCACAACGCGCGTGCATATCGATAGAAGTGTACTTGCATCGCGCACTCGCGGCTCGCATCTCCTTTATTCCGCATAAATCCATGAGAAAGTGCTCTCTTCGACAAATGCACCCGCCGTAAAACTATATTCTCGCTGCAGCCACGTTTTCATGCCGCGTGCAACTCGGCATTCGGTTTTTCCAACTCGCTGCATTGTCGAAGACAATATTGATCCGGAAGTCTTGTGTTTCGGCGAGTCGCGCCAATTTTAACAAGAGTGGTACGCATGAACGGCGATTAAATCGTAAAATTTCCATCGGAATTGAAGTTAAAGTAAAAAAGAAAAAAAAAAAACGATAGAAAACTTTATAGTACAATACAGTAAAAAAGAAAAACAGTACAATATAGTACAATATAGTACAATGTAGTACAATATAGTACAATATAGTACAATATAGTGCAATGTAGTACAATATAGTACAATATAGTACACAATATAGTATAATATAGTACAATATAGTAAAAAAGAAAAAAAAACAATAGAAAACTTTATAGTACAATATAGTACAATGTAGTACAATATAGTACAATATAGTATAATATAGTACAATATAGTAAAAAAGAAAAAAAACAATAGAAAACTTTATAGTACAATATAGTAATAAAGAAAAACAGTACAATATAGTACAATATAGTACAATATAATATAATATAGTACAATATAGTACAATATAGTACAATATAGTACAATACAGTACAATACAGTACAATATAGTACAATATAGTACACAATATAGTACAATATAGTATACAATATAGTACAATATAGTACAATATAGTACAATATAGTATAATATAGTACAATATAGTATAATATAGTACAATATAGTACAATATAGTAAAAAAGAAAAAAAAACGATAGAAAACTTTATAGTATACAATGTAGTGCGCGAACTTTTATATTTTACGAAGAATCATTTGAATCTCTAAAAACAGCGTTACATTATGATAAACAGAATTAATTAAATATTAATTTACGTTCGAGAAACGTATTTTGTCAAAATGACCAATTTGTAAAAACTGTTTCACAATTTTAAGATTAAAGATTAAAGCTATGTCTTCGAACTGACCGATTTGTAATTTCTTTAATATGACTACATTACAAAAATTACAAACTGGTCATTTTGACCATTCTAGCGTTAATTTCGTTAATATAGCTACGTGTCAATATAGCTACGTGTCGATAGAAGAGACTATAAACGATCATACCGAGTATCGACAGTTGTGACAACGCGGTGTTTAAAGTGATCCCACTCTCTTTGTTACGTATCTGTCTTTTACATTCCCGAACGTGTTCCGTTTACTTCATTCAACTTTGTAAATACGCCTCCGTTTGTACAAAACGGTACAAACACAGAGCCAAGAAAAGAAGCACGATCGAGAGAGAGAGAAAAGCCAGAAACTTGTTCGCCTCGGGGAACGTACGCGAGCGACATTTGATAAGAATTTAATTTCAGACGTATCGGAAATGTTTCTTTCGATTAATCTTCGGCGCCCGTGCCTTTTAACAGAAATATATTACCAGGATGGCCAACGTGGCAAATTTACCATCGGAATTTCGTAAATTGAAAACGATGCATTCTTTTTTTTTTTTTTAGAATTTAATTTGCGAATTGGAAAGCGGCGCAAAGTCACTTTGCTTCTAAATCGAAATAATTGTGGATTCGCGTTTTAACGCGACTCCATATAAATTTCTATCGGCAGGATCTCAGTGGTTCTCAACCGAACCGCGATTCGTAACTTTTTTAAATTTTGTAAATTCAAAACGGTCTATTATTTTTTTAGGAATTTAATTTGAAGAAAGTAGCTATAGAAATTTTGTAAATTTTGTAAATTCAAAACGCGTCTATTATTTTTGTAGGAATTTAATTTGAAGAAAGTAGCTATAGATATTTTGCTCCTAAATCGAAACAATTTAATTTACCTAAATTCGACAAAATGTCAGTGGTTCC